TATCCATATTAAGTAATATGCAATATTTAGTAATATATCCACATTAAATAGAATCCAATACTCATTATTATATCCATATTAAGTAATATGCAATACTCATTGTTATATCCACATTAAATAGAATGCAATATTTAGTAATATATCCACATTAAATAAAATGCAATACTCGTTATTATATCCACATTAAATAGAATGCAATACTTTATATTATATCCATATTAAGTAAAAATACAATGTTCTTTGTTATATCCACGTTATTTTAATTCTAATATTAGATATTATATTTATATTAAATAAAATTGAGAATTTCATAATATAGAATAAAATTCTTACGAGATAATGCAAACAAAAAAGACAAATATTTGATAAATAATAATAAATTTAATACCTCATATACAGGGTATCTCAGTTTTTGTACCACTAAACGTTAACTACATATTCTACAAGCAAAAATAAGACATAGTATGTATTAACATAGGTTCTTAAATGCTTTATTTATAAGTTTTAATCAAAAATATGAAACAGGAAAAAACTGAGACTCCTTGTGTATATATTTATATATATTAAAGAACGAAAAGAAAAATGTTGCATATTGCAACTATAAAAAGAGAATATACAATATTTAATATATCACTGTAATCATACCTTGCATCTAATCTAATATACGATATTTGTGTTCTTATTAAAATGTTAAATATATTTATTTATTATCTTACAAGATATATATCGTATTCCATTTGTATCGAGAGATCAATACAATTGACTAACTTAATTAACCAATGTTTTTACGCAGATATGAAGATAATTTTTTATAACAAAATACACTTATGCATACGACGCCAACTTGTAAATTATATATTTTCATTTTCAGAAGTAAATATATTAAAAATATACATTACCAAATATTAAGAAAGCCCAATGAATCAAAAACTATTTTATATTGAAATACCAATGGTTAATTGTACTTCATAAAATCGAAATTAAGTTCACTAATCTTCTTAATAGTATCAAAAAAATTACCAGCTTAAAAGTACATTTACCCAAGCGAAATGCAAATGAAAAAATGGCTGATCATGCATGTTACATATAAGCGGCGTGCTCGCGAAAAGTCTGCAGTGATTGGATGATCCAATCGATTACAATTTCGTATGAACCAATGAGCGACGAGTTAGCTTTTCCTTCTTTCCTTTTTTAAATTAATTTATAATACAATAAGCATTTCATAATAGTTTATTTACATATATTTCTATATTTTATTTTTATTTAATTATATACGATATATTTCTATATTTTAAAGAAAAATTGATTTGTTTTATATATAAATTATTACATGACAAGACGGAAATACCATAGGCTGATCTCGAAACTCCTGATTGGCTGTCGATAGTTCAATCATCTAAGCATTGTCAAAGAATACAGAAGTACATAGATGCTCACAAGTTCACTTTTCGCGTAATCACATTCATCTTAGTTAGTACCAAAACCACCAGTGGGCGATAGTAGTTACTTAACGCAATGATGGTATAATACTATCAAAGAACGATACAATACTATCAAAGAACGATACAATACTATCAAAGAATAAAGTATTCTACTTACTATCGCCCACTGGTGGTCCCGGTAGTAACAAAGATGAATCGGTTATGGAAAAAGTGGACTTGTGAGCTCCTATGTACTTCTGCATTTTTTGGCATATCACATACTATCGATCTATAAATGTATCTCTGACAAAAAATTTATGTGTATAAATAATAATAGTAAATAATACAATTTGTTGCGGAATATTAAGATTTTATGAAGAATAATATTTATTTTCGAATTTTTCTTAAAAAAAAGCTTAAAAATGGATGAAGATATACGTACATTATGGTGTGGAAATTTAAGTGAACAAGTTACAGAAGATATTCTTTATGAATTATTTTTACAAGTTAGTTATTATTATACTTAAGTAGATAATAATATTGAAAAAGATATATTACAAAGTTATTAATATAATAATGTATATGTATGTATTATATGTATAATTTGTTGTTTGTTTTGTAGGGTGGTCCAATACAAAAAGTTGCCATACCTAAAGATCGTGACGGAAAGCAAAGAACTTACGGTTTTGTAACATATAAACATGTTAGTTCTGTATCCTACGCGTTAGTTTTGTTTAACGGAACTAAACTATTTAATCGGCTCATTAACATGAAAACAAGAAATAAAGTAGAATCATCGGAAGTAGAAAAACAAAGACAAGAACATATTTATAATTTGAATCATTTACTTCAATTGGGTCAACAAACATTTATAGGGAACCTTATGTCGAATGCAGGTTCGGACATATTACCTATGAACGTATCACCGAACACAGTTACCTGTAGTGGAAAAATTGATAATCATCGTGACGACAGACATTCTAGAAGAAATCATCCTTATCATCGTGATCATGAAAATAATAGACGCGATCATCATAAAAATCATAAACCTTATAGAAACAGAAGTCATTCGAATAGTAGCCGTTCGAGTGATTATTCTAAACATAGTAATTATAAAAATAATAGAAAACATTACCATTAATATTTTGTATAAATACAAATTTAATAAAATAACACATGTATATATATTAACTTTAACAAATTTTTAATTTTTATTAAAGATACGTACAATAGATTACTAATAATGATATTAATTAAAGAAATTCAAATTATTATAAGTAACAAAATTTATTGCAAATCTTAAACGTATAACATAAAAGAGATGTATTATTACAATACCTTAAATTGTGTGACTGTTCATTTCTTATTTTTTTCAAAATATCAACAGCTTTCTTTGCCATCATTATAAGAGCACCATTTATATTGCCACTGGGCAAAGATGGTAGCACAGACGCATCCACTACATATAAATTTGTTGTATTATATACCCTAAAATAATTGTTTCTTTTTTATAGAACAAATCAACAATGAAAATAAATAATTAAATATATTAATAAAAGAGTAATTATCATTTGTGTGTATAGTTACCTAAATGACATATCAACAACATCTTCCATACGACATGTGCCTGCAGGGTGATAAGCGGTTAATGATAAATATCGTATATAGCATTCCCAATATTCCAACGAATCAAATTCATTAGCCTCGCAACCTGGTAAAGATTTGTTATAAAGAGACACGCCTAGCTCTTTCATGGCACTTGTATTAATGAGTTTTTTTAGGTATTGTATACCTAAACAAAAAAATCAATGTATTTGTGATGCATAACGATACGAATAATATAAGATATATATTAATTAATTAATTATTTATCAGACATTATCATTTTTTACCATTTATAAGCGTATCAACGTCATATTTATTGGATAGATATTTTGGATCAATTAAAGGTTCATCAGAAGGATCATTACTACGAAGTTTGATTTCTCCTAAACTTTTTGGATGTAACAAAACAGGTGCTATTGTTATAACATTATCATTTTCTAGTGGTGCAAAATATTTATCATATACCTATAAAAAACAAATATGCAGTATATATTATTATGCAATAAATATATAACAAGATATATATTATATATTAATTAATTATAAATAATAATTTAAAATATGACCTCATCGGAAATTCCCATTGCTTTTTTGAGAGTTATACCATAATCTGTTGATATACCAAGAGGTAGTATCATTAATTGTAAATCTGGTCTCGAAGATTGATTTCTTTGTAAAGTGCTATAAAATGTTCCTAAAACTTCAATTCCTGACGATGTCCATGGTCCTAAAAATAAAATGATAATTAATGTATATTGTACATCTTTCTCTTTCGTTATGTTATAATCATTTACCTTGGCCAAAAAGAAAATAATTGAATAGTGCTATAGGATTAAGAGCGTTAATCATACTGAAAGACAAGTCTGTCTTCAGTCTTACTAAATCAATACCAGTAAGAAGATGATCCATTAAATTTTGACCGACTGGTAAATTATTAATCACTTTGATCTAATAAATTATGATACAGTTTCTATATTAAAATATTAATTGTAAATATTCATAAAAATTTAATATCCAAAATATAATAAATTTAACAAGAATATTTACGTTCATATCTTTTAAATGTTTTTCTGGACCTATTCCAGAAAGCATTAATAATTTAGGGCTACCAATTACACCAGCACTAACAATGACCCCATTTTTTGCTAAAATTTTGGAATTTCTACCAAATTTTGTTAATTGTATTCCCGTTGCTTTATTTGATTTTAGTAGAATCTGTTAAAATATATATATATGATCGGTCAACAAACAATTTACGTAGCGAACACGATCTTTGAATAGATTATATTCGTTAATCAATTAGCTACTGTACATGTTTAAATATTAAATTGAAATACATAATAATTAACATATTATTAAATATATTTAACATACCTTATCAACTCTAGCATGAGTAAGAATGTCCAAAGTATTTAGATATTTTCTATACAACATATCATCCGTACTCCATCTTTTCCCATTATCAGCAAATAATTGAACTTTCATAAAACCTAAATAAATAAATTTATAAATGTTTTCAAAGAGTTAATAATTAATACAGTTTTAATAAAATATAATTATACCTGTATCTAAGGCTTCGTTTATGTTACCAACTTTCCCATCGATTTCCAATATACTCTTCAATATTGCACTAACAAGTTTGGTATGCCATTTTGATTCTTGTATCTTAACCGAATCATTTTTTCCAAGTATATAATCTATAAAATCAAATGATATATATATATTAAAATATTAGCAATACAATATATCCAGAGAACAGGATGAAAGAATACATAAAGTTACATGGTTTAAAAAATACCATTAAAATCAGGAAACCATTTGGCATAATCTTGAGGATGTCCACGTACGTATGTCATATAATTTAATCTGCTTGTTCCCCCGAGTATCTTTCCCATTGGCCATTTACTTTGCTGTAAATAAATAATATCATCATCAGATATAATAAAAGACATAGATAGCGCAAATTGTTTGAGCATACATTGTTTTTCAAAGCTTTGCAAGCATCGCGTTGAGGCACCGTTACATATTGCCAATCATATAAACTGTTTTGTAATAAAGGTGACAACAATGGTATATCTAGAAATAGCGGTGCTTTACCACCGGCTTCTATCAATAAAACATTTTGTCCATCTTCCGCTAATCTTGCAGCAATAACTGCACCAGAAGTTCCAGCTCCAACTGTAAATAAAATATTAATTAAAAAATGATCTAACAATAAGATTAAATGATATTATGTTTTAGTTTTTAATTCTTATTATATTATTATTTATTAATTATATAAAATAAAGCATACCAACGATATAATCGTAATTTGATTTAATAGTATTCAATGAAAACAATTGTTCCAACACGTCCAACAAATAAGCTAATTTGACATAGCATGTAAATAAAAATATTAATGTACCACTTGTTATAAATATGAAATATTTCAAAATTAACATTTTCTACCTAATTACAAGTTTATAATCGTTTATATAGGTTTATTTATAAATAGAAATTTCCTATCTGCTATCATTTGTATTCAAAACAATCTTTATAATTCTAACCTATATAACCTTTATGTTTCTAACCTATATCTAATAATAGGGTAACAAACACGTGTTCATTATACACGTCTGATTCTATGGAATATATTTAAACTAATAAATGAAATATTATTGTAATTTGTAATTCTAAAATATTGTAATAAAACTTATTCGATAAATATTATATTTTTAATATTAACATATTCACACCAAAACAATAATTTATTTGGAACATTTAGAAAAAGAAGAATAAAAAGGTAGTTTTAAACAATTAAACGATAAAGGATAACTTCATATAAGTATTTTATTAAAAAAATATATAAAAGAACATCATTGTTAAATTTTACCTCTTAACTTGGCATAGAAAATCTTATTTAGTCATGATTTTTATAGAGGTAGACAATACACGTCATATAACAGGTACTTTTAAAATAATATCGGAAAGGAGGGATTTGAATTTAACAAACTTTCTTTTAAACTCAAGACCGCATCCCTTAGATAATCTAAAATCTACCAATAATTTATTATCCATTTCAAGAACATTCGCTTTGAACACCAAAGGCATATTTCTTTTGTCTACCGTTGATATAGTAATCTGTAAGAATATTATTTGTATAGAATAACACAAAAAAAGAAGTCATTATATGAAAAATAATATCGGTTGATGATATTAAAGAGGTCACGTTAGTCCTTAAGGATCTGCCTTAGATTTTCTATCGAGAAAAGTTTAAAGGAAAGCTTAAAAAAAGCTTGGAACTTAATATATTAATAATTGTTGATTGATACGTACTATGCGAAAATCGTTAATACGATAAGTATAACTTTCATATTGTAAACAGTTTAATAATCTTTTTACTGTCGTTTCAAAATCTGTTTTCACGAAAAATCTAGTCATACGTCTAACAAGCTGTTGGAAAGGTGTTTGCTGAAATGCATGATAATATAAATAACATTATTTCATTTAATTTTTAATTTATGTGTATTAATTATATATATATATATATAAGCTTACCGAACTTGAATGTGCAGTACATTGCATCGGTTGAGTACAAAGTAATAAATCTTCGATATGAGCAGGTTGAGAAAACGAGAAACCTGTCTTTTCATCTAATTTCATATTCTCAATATTTACATTTTCCTCTCCAACAAAATCAGGTTGCGATAAACAAGATCTCGATGGATTGCATCCATCTACTTGACTATAATTACTAACGGGCATATTATATCTATTACTATGTAGATCATCTGTAGTAACAAAAATATGAAATATCGTTTTTATTTTGATTATATATACAAGGTTGTCCGAGGTACTTCCGGCTAAACAGTGTCAGGGTACTCTTTGCACGAAAATAGGAAAAAAGAAATGTTATGTATATAAATGAAGGTCATTCAAAACTTTATTCAAAAGTTATGATGCAAATTGTAAATCATCTAATTTCTCATTCAAAGTACCAACGATCTCTGAGATCGCTGTAGGAGGAGATAAACCTGTTTTACATAATTATGAATACACATTCAAGAAAATATTTTAATTTTATTTTCGTGAATAGAGAATATGCTGATATCATTTAGTTGGATAAACCTCAAACAAGCACTGTATATATGGATACGAAAATGTATATATCATGTTAGAATATTTAATATTATTACTTTACATCAAACTTATATTTGTAAAATAGTATTCTTCGTGAAAGTACTTTGGTTGGATGTATGCGCCAATGCTCTTTGCTTTGGTAATCTAGCTTTATGACCGTTAATTGAAATCATAGAGCTGTATTACCAAAGAAAAGGTAATAGCTTTTAATAATATCGATGTCGTTGTGAAAAGATGAAGATATTTGTAATTACATTGCTGAAAAAAGGAAAATATTAGTGCGATAGGAATGAAATAATTGTATATTTTAGATGATATAAAAACATTCATCCCCAATCGTTAAAAATTGTATAGAAGATAATATATCTATTTGAAATTTTCGAATACTTACATTCATTCTAAAAAACGACAAAAACCGTAGAAACAGATGTCCACATAGTTAGGTACCAAGCAGCTTTGGGTAATTTTGTATATGCTCAAAGTCACTCAGTACCTGACTAAGTAAACACTGGATACATTTAACAATGCAGTTCAAGCGACGATAAATATAAGCATTTTTGTGTGTGTGTGTAAAAAAATAATCAATTACTAAAAGAAGAAAATTTTATTAATCGCAGTTACGTACCTTTTTTAAATGTTGTAAGAAACCATCGATGATTTTTTATCTCTGGTATTGTATATCTAGCGGATGGTAGGTGAGCAAGGATTTTTTTGATTAAAGATAATTCTAAGTTATCCAATTTTTTCCATGGTGTAAGTGACATGTATGTTCCTTTCCTCCATGCCACATATTCTGGGCACTCTGCCAAGGATTGATCCCAAGGCAGTTCTATATTTCAGAGATGGACCAGTTAAAAACTAAAGAATGTAAGCTACGCATTAGAATTCTTATTTAATTGAAACAACAAGACACATTGATCTACAAGTGGTAAATATTAACAATTTTTCCTTATTTATTTATCATTTATAATATTCTATAAATAGAAGAATCATCAAATATATTTGTAATAATATATATAGGGTGATAACAAAACAGAGTTCAATATTTTAAAGGTATATAATGTTTATCAAGGTGAGCTAAAAAGTTGGATATCATAAGCAAATCTCTTGGCAATGTATTGAATGCACTCAGAGAAATTTGCATAAAAATGCATTAATTTAAGATTATCAAAATTAATTTTATTAATTGAAAATAAACAAAAACTATATTACTAACATCAACAAAGATTTGTTTCTTCATAGATGCAAACATAATATATACAAATCAATATCATCAGATATTTTTTATTTCTCTTGGTAAGTACCATAAAACCTTGAAATATTGAACCCTATTTTTTACCATCCTATATATATATAAAAGAATAAACTTACCTCCGCACAGTAAAGCAACCAGAATTATACCACAAGACCATATATCAGCAGGTTCTGCATAATAAGCTTGTACGAGAACTTCTGGTGCCACATATGGTAATGTTCCACATTTCTTTTCTAAAGTACGTTCTCTTCCTTGGACACGAAAAATAGTTGCCAATCCAAAATCTGTTATTTTTAAGTTATCGTTATCATCTAATAATAAATTTTCTGGTTTAAGATCCCTATGTGCAACTCCTCGACTGTGTAAATATTCCACAGCGCAAATTAATTGTTTAAAATACCTCTGAGCTTCGTACTTCGGCATACCGATATCGGGTTCTGTTAATAATAATATAATAATTATTCTTTTTTATATCCTCTGACAAAAATTATGGTATGTGTAACATCAGATAAAAATATAAAATATTAATATTATACCAATTCTATCGTAAAGTTCTCCACCAGAAGCATACTCTAAAAATATATATTCCATAGTTGGTTCACTACGCTTTCCAAAAAACTGTATGATATTAGAATTAGACAACATTCTGTGAATGGTTGTTTCTTTTTTTACGCTTTGTCGTGCATCCGGATGTTTTAGTACATCTACCATTTTCATGGCGACGGCTTCGCCAGTAGTCTTGTTAATAACCAACTTGACTCTGAAGAGAAAGAATTATATTTAAAATAATGATTTATTTGACACGTTCTTTTGTTATGGAGTATTTTAAAACACATGTAAAAAAGATTAATTTACAAAGAAATGAATTTGTGTGTCTTTTATAATCATATCTGTGACGTTAAAGAAAAAAAGAAAAGTAAAAGAGAGAGAAATGAAGTAATTTGAACTATTAAACATTTTCAATGTTCAATTAATATCTTATGAAATAAACTTTAAGTAGATCAAATTAAAATCATATTCAAATAATTCAATCATTTTGTTGAGGATTTGAAAGTCAATTTGATTTGTTTTTTAAATAGAATATCCTATGTTTTTTTTTTGTTTATAACAGTTAAAAGAAGTATTAATTTACAAGTAAAAAGGTATTAAACATCGTTTGTCCTAAATTTAATTATCAACAAGATATTAACAAAAGTTTACATCAGCATAAGATCACTATGGAAAAGAAATCTTTTGAGTACTATAAATATATATATATATATATATATTGCATTTGTCAATATGAATGCAAATAATGCAATATTGGTTTGCATATTAATAATTGTTTCAAGGCTTGTTGCATTAATAATTATGCTTGAAAGAAAACTTCTTGCGTAATTAAAATCTAGGAAAAAAAGAAAAAGATTATAATTTATTGTTATTTGCATCTAGTTGTTATTTTCATACTAGCATTAAAATATTTCATTTGTATAAAATGCTTCAGCCAAAAATATTAGCCGCTCAAAGTGTTAACGAAATATTAACAAAAGTTTAAGGACAAACGAGGTTTAATAATTTTTTTACTTGAAAATTAATGTTCTTTCTAATTACCGTAAAAGAAATAGGCCATTCCATTTAAAAAAAAAAAAAAATAACACAACAAAGTTTTTTGTTTTATTATGTTCCTCTTGACACTGTGGAACCTCTGTAGAAATAATTTGTAATTTAATTTATAATGTAGAAATTATTCGAATTAGATGTGCATTTCACGTTGTATATTTATTATATCGTTTAATATATATCCGATATAATAATAATATATATATTTCTAAATATCTATATACTTACTCGCCATAAGCACCTTCTCCTAACGTGTGTCCTAAAATCCAACCTTCGACAAATTCCGTCATTTTGCTTCAGCATGCCTCCGCAAACGGGCTAACGGTTGCTGAATATTTACCAAAATTCAAATATATATATGTGTATTAAAAGTAACAGGGACGTTTCAATGATTAATCATTTTAATCTAGACATTTCTTAAAGTTTTCTTCAAATGTTCTTTCAATATTTCGTACGTTCGTTGACGTTGAGCTTTTAATTTTCGGCTAAAACGATTAAATTCAAAACACGTGGTTAGAAAAACGACAGGACGATTAAAAGAAGTTCAAAACATTAATCTTGTTTGATTAAAAAATTATTGTAAATAAAAAATAATAATGTAATTATTTGTATTAATGATTAATCAACGATAGTTTAATTCAATTAAATATATATGGTTATTAATAGTAATAATCATATAAAAACGATCACCAATCGATGTACAAACCAATATACATAGACCATTTTCGGAGCACTGTACAAATTAGTATCAGCGTGAAGCAACCGGCGTTGCTATAGCCAGAAATATTTTTTCTCCTATCAGATGGCGCTTCGGATACTTGTCGATTGTTCTGATTGGTTGTTGAAAATACAACCCTTTTAATATTTCCGATGTAACCCCTTTAGGAATTTAAAAATAAATCTTAAATTAAATTAAGGAATTTTTTTTTTAATATAAACAAAACATTTAAGTAATAAATGATATATATATACATATATAAAATATATAATGAATAATAATACAAACAGATAGATATTATATTATATTAACAAATTTTCTTTCTATACCATATTTTTTATTAAACATATTATATCAATTATGTCATAAGTAAAGTTTACTTAAGATAATTTTAATTAGATGAACGTTGTACTAAAATGCTTTATAACAAGCCTTGTCTTTTAAGATCTTCATAAGTCTTACGATTAACCACATTCCCAAGGGAATCTTCAAATTCTTCTTCCTGTTCTGGTTGCCAACGTTCGGCTTGCTTTTGAGTTTTCAGTTTTTCCCATAAAGCAAGAGCATCTTCTATCTGAGTCACATTGGCAAAGTGTGCGGTATTTGGTATACCAAGACAACGCATGCCATGAGCATGTCTCCATTCCGCAAAATGTCTTTGGAAAGCTTTAGGTCCTTTGTATGTGAAATTACCACAAATTTCACAGTTGTAACTAATATTAAGACCGTGTAATTTATACAACCAATATGGTATAGGCTTKCCGTCCCAACCAAGAGGCAAATTTTTAGGATTATAMGGAACTTCGTTATCATCTTCTTCCTCCGATTCACTCGCACTTGCTTCCGCATCCGAATCACCTCGTTCACCTTCTGTCCTAGCTTGTTTCCTTTGTACATTTTCTTTAGTAGAAACTCTTTGACTAGAAACCAATTCTGCAAGCCTGTAAACGTGAGACTCTACCCTTGCAATTTCTTTCTGTTTTTCTGTATCTTTACCTTTGCCAGACTTTTTATTTTTACTTTTAGCTAATAAGTTTGGATCGAGAGAAGCTTCGCCCTTAGTGCTAAAAAGTCTCTGCGCTCTYTCCTCCAAAGTRCCACCGCATTTTAAACCTAARGCCATCAATGCAGATTTTAATCTATCCAATCCGAGGGATGCTAGTTCTTCCCAAGATGAAAAAGCAGAAAGTTCCAAATGTGCTCCAACGTGAGCCAATGCGCTTCCAGTTTCCTTCGGCCATCCAGGAAATGTATTATTTTCCCACTGCGTTTCGAACTCCTTATTGGCTTCTTCAATTTCTGCACTTATATCTAACAATGGTCTAACTCTACTCAAATAATCAACCAAATATAATAAAAGGACTTCAATGTATCTGCTGTATTCGGCATTTTTCCTTTCTCTTGGAATATCGAATAGATGATCAAACGTAGACAAATAACTAATGTAATCAACCTTTTCGATACCCTTAAGATTAATATACTTTTCGTAGCATTCATGAAGATCCAAATATTTTCCGTAACCTTCCTCATCAGTGAATTCAACAAGGTTGGACAATTCTTCTGTTGGATTTTCCCTCATTTTGGCTAATTCCTCAAATTCGACTGACATTGGTACGCTAATTTCATTCGGATGTCTACGATAGAATTCTTTGATAGATTTTAATCGAGAATAAAATTCAGAAAATTCGTTAGGACCCGAAAGTGCTTGTACCTGAAAAATTGTATTAAAATTATTGTATATTTAACAAATGAATGATTATAAAAATGTATAAGCTTAAATATACATATAAACATATGAGATACTTTTCAAAAATATAACCTCTTACCTCCTCTTTTCTTTGACCATCTTTATCTTCGTACAAATCTTGTAAATTAGCGGTACTATCCATATACTGATCCAATAACATTTTTAATCTATGCTCAGAATTAATATTTTCACGATGGCCTGGTTTTTTAAAAAGCATTTCTTTTACCATAGCGTCCATCAACCGTTCTCTTTCCTCATGATAACGTCGTTGTTGTTCCAATATCGTTTCCATTATATAGTTCAATTAATATAAATTATATGTATATATATATATATTTATTTTTTTAATATGCTTATATACTTTTTATTATTTATTATAATTTAATGTTTCTTTAACGTTGTTTATACACTATATTTCACTGAAACTGTATAATAAACTTCAGCGACGTAAGCGGACAAACAATGAACTAAAAGCGACATAGGAGAACGTAAATATGTATACATACATCGCTGTATAAGCTTGTGTTGGTTACACCTTTCCTATGTGTGGTGTGAACTCATGGTTAGTAAGTTGAACTCACACTTTTTAATCCCTCATCTGTGTGTTAGTTATAAGCGGATCGAGTTATCGATACAATCGATACTATTGAATAAATCGATATTGCATAAGAACGTTGGCAACAGTGGATGATAACTGAGGTTGGCAACTCTGGATGAGTATTATCAATATTAGTAATCTGCTTTATTGACTGTTGGTATGTCATTATTTTTTAATTCGTAAATTGTTTGTAAATGTTTACTTTGGTTAGTGTTCAATTATTGTCAATTATTTCTTTTACTCTGTGTAAATTAAATTATTTTCATTTTTAGTAAAAATCAAGTAGGAATTTAATGTGTTATTTCTTTACATAGTTTATTTGTTCTGTCATTTCTCATTTTCTCTCTTGTTTGTATAATATTTTTTTTCTTAAATATAAAATATAAGTATATGTATATAAGTAAGTAAAGAATATATTTTATGTGATTTTGGATAATTTTGATGTGAATTTGAATTGATTAATATTTAACAATGTCGTGGAAAGTTTTTCGTTTTCTAACCTCCATCAACATATGTCAAAGATTTGATACGTACAAAGTTGCATTAGTAACAGTACAAAGGGTAATCAAATTATTCCTTTATTTTCCTCTTACAATAAAATAACAATAATTTGTAAATATTAATGTTTCTGACTTTCTTTCTTTTTTTTATTAACAGAATAAAAAACGTAACTTTAATAAATTGGTTTATGTAGCACCTGCTACTATGGGGCTTTGGATTTTTCAATCTGCCAACGAAAAAGATAAAGATAAAGACAATAATAATAATAATAATAATAATAATAATAACGATGTAAAGGAAATTACTGCAAAGGAAGGGTTTATTGTAACAACTGATGTTTTGTACGAGCAAGGCTTGTACGAACAGTTGTATGATCATTTGTCGAATTACAAGGTATAATGGAATTACATGTGTAATATCAAACGCTTTTAAATACTTTTCCATGAGATATTATTTATTTATTTTTATATATACCTAGCATAACGGAGATGTAGAGATCTTGTGGCGTCTAAGTAGGGTTCTGTACAAATTGTCAAAGACAGCTGACGAATCGGAAGCCAAAAAAATGATTTTAGAAGCTTACGATTATATACAAACTGCAATTAGTATCAAAGAGGATCATTACGCTGTACAAAAGTGGATGGCAATATTACTCGATAGTAAAAGCTCTTTGGAAGGCATGAAGTCAAGGATACAACAATTATACACCATTAAGAAGCACATGCTTGTACGATATTTATGTTATATCTATTTTATATATATAGTATCGAATTTTTTTTGTTTTTATATCATCGCAATGTGTCATTCTTATTTTTTATCGTAGAGGGCAATAGAATTAAATCCAAAGGACGCTACCATTTTGTACATGCTCGGCACTTGGTGTTATCATGTATCTGATTTAGCTTGGTATCAAAGAAAAATTGCATCATTGGTATTCGGAGAACCTCCGAATTCGTCCTTCGAAGAGGCATTAACGTATTTTGAAAAGGCAGAAGAAATGAGTCCTAATTTTTACAGTCTCAATTTGCTTATGTTAGCAAAAACTTATTTAAAATTAGGTAGAAAAGAAGATGCTTTAAAATATTTAAAATTGACCACGGAATATCCAACCACTGATCATGGGGATGTTCAATCGAAAAAAGAAGCGCAAGAAATTCTTAACGCTTTATAAAGTTCTTCGACGTACTGTTTTTTTTTGTCTTTTTCTTTTAATAACTTTATTTGTATCGGAATTACAAAGAGGGGCTCGCATAAATAGGTTGCATAACAATTTTTTTACGTACGCACAATATCAAAAATATTTATTTATAGCTGAAAATATTTATAATCAAGCTAAAACTTAATATTTTATTATAACTCAAGTATATAAAGTATGAACAAAAAGAAATACTAATTACAATTCATATCGAATTTCACAGTTTACGATTATTATTTTTATATATAGTTTATAAAGTTTATGCTAAACGATCAAACACATAAGTTACATTTGCTACAATATTGACAATATTATATATAAATATATATATATTTTTGATATGAATTTGCTATGAAATTTTTTGTAAACTCATGTATATAAAATAGTACAAAAAGTTATTATATTAAACTTTTTTATTTACTTCTTTTTTTTTTTTTTTATAATACTGAACGAGTAAAAAACGTTAGAAAGAAATAATGAATATATTTTTATACATGAATTTACTTTTATTTTCTCTCGCTCTTTAATGCTCTATCACAAAAATAGATAGAAATTTTTTAATACGCTTATCGTCACGTAACCCAAATCTGGATTACAGCTATGTTTATTTTAAATACATTAAAATTATCTATATATATTTATATATATATATATATATATATTTTAAATATATATTCTACCTATGGTAAAAAATAAATAATAATTTATGTAATGCATTTAAAAATAAGACACAAAGACAGAGAGAGAGAGAGAATAATATTATTAAGCTCTCAATTATATAGTGCAATAAATTGATATGATATTTTTGTCATTAAATCATTTAGTAAATTTTTTTTGTTGAAACTACTTTTCTACTAGCGTGTTTACTTACACAGGTAAATCTCACTCGTATATAATTTGTTGTTGTTAATTTGTATTTTAGCGAGGATTATATCGTGTAATATTTAGCAGAGATTAGCCGAACGAATAATACAAAAATAATATCATCGAGATCAGTCGAGATATAATCGTCGAATATTTATCTTTTTAATAGATACTTTACGTCAAAGAAACCAAAAAATAAATATATATATATATATATATTTATACATCATTTGCAAGTGTATTCCTCCGTACGTTCGGTACACGTGTCACAATATACATGACAGCACCAATGAAATTTACATCTACACTGCCAAGTTCTAGTAAATTGATGTGTGTTATAACCACGACCACAACACATCAAATCACATCCATCGGTTCCTAAAATCAAAAACAAAAAATCAAATCAGGAACATATCTGTTTATGTGTGTGTATGTGAGGGTTATACGTTAGATATTATTATTATATATTTCATAAAAAAAAAAAGTTATCGACAAACTAATCTGCATTCTTTTGAAATTTACCTTTACTCGTTCGATTACAATATCTTCCTTGCGTACCTAAACTACCCAAAACCAAATCTGGTTCGCAATAATTTGGCGATGGTTGTAGAAATACCAGTTCGCTTCTCTTCGGCATCTTTTTAGACACCGTAGTACTTCCCCCATTACTAACTTTATTCCTTTTCAACGCCAAATAGGCTCTCCTCGATTTAATACCGTTTTTTTTTTTTTTTGATGGTTGCTGATCACGACGCGCTTTTACAAAATCGTTTTGTTTCCCTTGAGTTTTAGCATCGTTACCGAGAATAGGTGTTATCTCTTCTGTTGAAACCGAATGCGATATACTTTCAGAAATCTGAAAATATAATTATTACAATTATGTAATTCATTTTATTTATAGAATAATGTATTTAAACAATTATGTATTTCATCATATTTATAGAAAAATAGATTGGATAGAATTGAGAGAGAGAGAGAGAGAGAGAGGKAGGGTGCGAAGGAAGATATGATTAATTTTCATTGAAATTATGATGAAGAATATGTTCGATCATTACTTGGCTAGTGGGTGGTGGTGGAGGCATGATAGCAACGACAGCTTTAGCTCTATAATATTTTTTCATAAGGGCATCACCAATTTGACGAAAACTAGGTAATGTTCTCCAACATGTTTTCACTGTACAGGAACCTGATACTCCATGGCATTTGCATTCTGTCTGAAGAAGAGATTTCACGATCTAAAATATTAACAAAATATTATTATTATTATTATAACAATAATAATTATATTATATATCGTATAAAAACGCGCGAATTAATTTATTATACATTGTATGTATTAATTTTTATAAGATAAATTGCATTGTTTAATGAATATTGTTCTGTTAAAAAGATTTTGTTACATTTCTTAAATTATCTTTTATATTATTAGAGATATAAATATTAAAAGAATATTTTCTTCTTTTTCTTTTTTTCTCGCAAAATTATTTTGAATGACAGAGTGTTCGAAAATAATTAATAGTTAAAAAAAGAAACAATTACGAAACAGCAAACTTATTGTTAACGATGAAAAAAATTAAGGCGTATAAATCTCGAAATAAATTTTATTTCTTAAATGCAGGATAATTTCTACATTTTATATTGTATATATATATATATACATATATATATATATCACGTTGTACGAGAATTCCATATTATAGGACAAAACTAGTCGTAATATTATCTTCAACGTGTTTTAAGAACTCATGTTATACAGGAATTTACTGTAATTATTTTTCTTGTTCTTTGATTTAATTTAGTAAAGACAACTTTTAATTAGATTCAATGCATATTTATCTATAATTACACATATATGCTGATAATTATGATAGCAGGTAGCATAAGTCAGAAAAAAAAATGAAAAACAAATTTATTTTATGATTTATTCATTTTTCCAATTTTTTTGACTTGATTCGCTGTCATAATTATCGGTACATATGTATATACATTAAATATGAGAGTAAACGTGTACATATACATATATATATATATACGTGAAATTTTCTCGATGATTGACCGTTCACACAAGTTATTGCTCGATAAATCAAGATCTATAAGTGTTCGTAGATCGTGTTAAAATAAGGACGTAAATAAACGTACAGCTCATTACTAAGATTATTATCTTGTCAAGCAATTGTAAATCAACCATCGATCGAAATGCATCATTATCGTTAATCCTTTCAAACGAGACGACGAGTTCATTATCAAACCTACGTTTTCTCGCAGATCTTTGTCAGTGTTTAAAATTTATTTATATATATATATGTATATGTATATACAGGGTGTCCCACATAACTCTAGTCATGATTTTTCAAGTACTTGCGATAACATGACAAAGAAATACTGCTTCACGTGCATTCCTTTTACATTCACCAAATATTAGCAACATATCAACCTTTTCACTGTTAGTATAAATACGATTTGTTCCTGTGAATATACTTTTAATATTTTGTATACTTATAGCAAGCGGATTTTAATGATTTTTATATTAAATTAAAGTATACTCTTTTGTCTACGCGTAGAATACCATATCAAGTTATAAATTTAGCATGTAAAGTTCATAAAATGTCAGAGAATGCAATGCTGTAAATCGTGCATCTTTGCAATTTCTTTGAAAAGTTTCGGCCAATATTTTTTATACTTTTAGCAAATGGATTTTAATGATTTTTATATTAAATTAAAGTGCACTCTTTTATCTACACGTAGAATACTTTGTAGAGTTATGAAAATCAAATGTAAACTTTAAAAAATGTTAGAGAAGGCAATGCTGTAAATCGTGCATCTTTGCAATTT